GGAAAGTCAGAGGAACTCTGGTATGATGTGGCAATGCTGCAGGGCATATGATAAAGCCAGGTGTAGTGTACGGAGGGGAAAACCCATGTGCTTTCAAAAACAAANTCAGAGGAACTCTGGTATGATGTGGCAATGCTGCAGCCAGGTGTAGTGTACGGAGGGGAAAACCCATGTGCTTTCAAAAACAAAACGAAAAGTGATCTGCCTGTATTCTGGCAACATAATCAGAGAACATGGGTAACAGCCATCTTGCTTGTGGGATGGATGCACCAGCTTCACGAGAAGTGAGTACAGTACAGTAAGATATTTTGAGAGAAGCCACATTCACATAACCTTTTTCACAATATGTTGTTATAATTGTTCCATTTTATTATTGGTTATTGTTAACCTCTTACTGTGCCTAATTTAGAAATTAAATTTTATGATATGTGTGTATGTATAGGAAAAGACATAGTATATACAGAGTTCAGAAGAATGGTTTGGTTCTCTTGTATACTCTAAATGAGACCATTGGTGGTGGTGGGGAAGGGTTAATATATATAAATTAAATATATGTATATGCATGTATACAGGAATGTATGATACTAAACTAATTCTTTAGTTTTTTTTGTATTTTTGTAAACAAATTTAAGCATTTTCACTATTGTAAATCCTAATGCTTAATACCATAATAAATCCATGATATCTATTGACATAATCATAATACTAAAAATATTATTAAAATAGTCAAAGAATCATAATTAAATTTAAATCAAATTAGAATTTACTTATAATTCTAATGTTAGATTTCTACTTTTTTCTCCAAGTCGTGAAACAGGTCAATAAAAGTTTTTCAAAACTATTAGTGCTTTTATATATCTAAGGATAATCACAACTGAATTCATCTATAAAAATTCAAAGATATAGGCAGATCATATTAGTACACAGAGTGATTTTTATGTTTGGAGCTGGCATAAGGAAACTCACCAGAACTTAAAATGTGTTAAGATGGAATTGACAGTATCAGTGGTAGAGACAAGAACCAGCTGTTAGTGATCTAAGTCCCCCACCAGTTAGCATGTAAATTGGAGCCAGAAAGAGAACTGAAATTCAAATCAGAGAAGTGAAATTAAATATTCTACTTCTCCCTTGAATAATGATATTTTGTGAGAATAAGCTGAAAAGAAAGGTTAATACCCTTTCTGAGTTACATAAATTTAACATTGTGCATAATTAGGAGAAAAAATGAATGGGGGTTGTCATCTCCTTTCTTATGTATACTCAAGAAAAGAAATCATGTTTCCAAAGTTTGGGNTGAATGAGGGTTGTCGTCTCCTTTCTTATGTATACTCAAGAAAAGAAATCATGTTTCCAAAGTTTGGGAGAAAGAGTTTTTGCTTTCTTCGGCTGGGAAGAAGACAAGGAATCTACCACTGGGTGGCAGAGACCGAGCAATCCCTGCAGACATGCAGTAATCCTCTCTGGAGCTTGGCAGTGAGGAGGATCCCCTGTGAGATATGTCTCTGAGCCTGCCTGATCTTCAGTGCCCAAGAGGCTGGCTGCAGGGCTCTATAGCAGCATCCTGCAGTCAACAGAGCAATGGCAAAGATGGCAACCAGAGAGAATAAAGGACAGCCCAACCTATTGTTTTTAACATTAAAGAAGCCCAGGGTTGTTATAGGACCCCACAGAGAAAGACAAGGAAGTCCCAGAAATGATTGGTTGGATTTTCCCTCCAACCTCAGAACAGATTACATCTGATCTAGAAAATGAGGCAATGTGATGTTTCTTGCATGCTGGCATTGCAAAACAAAATTCATGCCCACGATATGTAGTTTTATAAACGTGATCTCTCAGTAAAAAGCATATAAATAGAATAGAAATCCTGTTCTCTGTTATGAGAGATGATGATGTTTTTATCAGGTTTTTATAACACATTTGGTAGTCAACTCAAAAGTGAATTTTCTTTTTATAAAATTTCTTTGACTTGCTCCTTCAAATCAAGAAAGAGAAATGGTAATTACCAGAAGACCCTTTTCTGCAGACTTTACCATTTGTCTTACTATTTTAAAAAAGCAATAGAATTATATGGACTCTGTTATATGTGTATATCCAGTGAAGCTGATTAAAGAAAGTATAAAAGTATGCACTAAACAGGAAGTGCCTCATTTTTCCTCTGGAAGGAAGGCTTGCAAGACTGTCTGCTATGGTTGACCAGTGATATGCAAGGAGACTGGATAATATGGGACCATGTTTCCTCATGTGGCATTTCCTTCCTATGTGGTCATTTCCCTGACCATTTCCTTCCTAACATCAAGTACTGCTGGGCAGAATCCCTGGTCTTAACACTATTATTTTTCCTAAATAGAATTTTCTTCAGTAACTTTTAATGTTTTTATTTCAATGATAGCTCGTCATTTCTATTACAATCTGGGCTTTCTTGCTATCTTTTATATATCAGTTAGATTTAGATTTGGCAAGGGGTATTAGTAGCCCCAAAATATCAGAGGCTTAAAGTAGGAGCTTATTTTTCTTTTGCATTAACATCCAGATACTTGTGGACTAAGGCTGCCATGGAACTTTGTTTTATGAAGACTTTAGATTCTTCTACTTTTTTGCTCTATTACCTGTGGCCTCTATTCTCAAGGTCATCTCATGGCCCAAGATGGCTACTTCAGATTCAAGGATGAAGTCTATATTTCAACCTGCAGGAAGGAGGAAAGAGGAATAACGGATCAGAGGGTTCAAGTGAGCTGTTCTTTAAAGAGGGGTCTCTGAAGCTGCTCCAGTATAGTCTTTCCTTATGTCCATTGCTCAGAGCTTATTCTCCTGTCCATAAAGAAGGCTAGGGAATTGTCTTTATTTGGGGAGGTCCTGTGCCCAGCCAAAAATTCTAATGGTAGAGTGGATATTGGGAGGAAATAGCAGCTTCTGCCATACTCTATTTGAACCACAGTGCCATTGGGAGCACCCTTGTTGCAAGAATACAGTAATATTTCATCAAATAACAAGGATCTGAGCAGGCCTTGCAATGATTATTGCAACTCCGGAATAACAGCTGACTTTTCAGTCACCCTGGAACATACTCTTGATAATTACATTGTCAGTGTACAATCTTCACCTTCAAAATCAAACACAAAAACCTTCCCTCCACCCCTCACTCTCTTTCTTCCCCTCCCTAGTCATGTTTTTAAGAAGAGTACCTGCTGTCACTGACTCCGTTTCTCAGCTCCTTGCCTTATCTCGGACCTTCTCCGGAACGGCTTGTCCCTAATTATTCTACGGTTCTTGCTAAGGCCAGCAGTGACCCTCATGAAACTAATCAGGTGTTTTTCTGTTACCGTCCTTGGCTTCTCAGCATCTGGCAAGAAACTTGCTCTTTGTTGACACCCTCTCTTCAGCTGGATTCCCTGACACTCTTCCAGAAGCTCTGTGTAAGCCTCCTCTGTGAGCTTCTCCTCTACTAGAACACAGAGGGGTGGATCCCCTACGAGTTCCGTTCTAAGTCCTTCTGTTCTCCACCACCACACATAGGTGAATTCAGTTACTGCAGACTGCAGTTACCACCGGGTGCTGAGGATTCCCAAAACTTCTTCTGTAATGTGATCTTTATTCTGTTTTGCACTGCTTTCTTTTTTTCTCAATGCCTGAGCAAGTGACTCCCTGTCTTTGATTAGCCAAAGCTGCTTTTTTATTATCCATCTGAATAAACAAAAAAATTTTTTTAATGTGTGAGCTTGCCCAGCTGCCGTGGCTCAGCAGCACATGCCCGTGGTCAGGGCACATGCCCGGGTTGTGGGCTCGATCCCCAGTGGGGAGGCAGCCAACCAATGACTCTCATCATTGATGCTTCTATCTGCCCCTGTCCTTCTCCCTTCCTCTCTCTGAAACCAATAAAGACATTTTTTTTTAAATGTGTGAGCTTATTAGTAAACTACAGATTATATAGCTATATTAAAAGAAAAAATATTATAGCTTATCATCATAATGTTTAGTCTTTTCATTTTTTTAAACAAGTTTATTGAAACAACAAAACACTTGACTTGAAGGAAAGACTATCTAGGATTCATTTCTTTTAGAGTAAGTCATCTCTACTTAAAGACACATTGCCCTACATGTGACAGCTGTGTACAAAAGTTATAAAATTGTCCTTGGTTTTACAATGATAAATGAAAAAAAAAAATCCTCCAATCAAACAAGGTATGCAAGGTGTTTTATGTTGTTCTTTTTTTGTTAAACAGTGAGAGCAAAATAACTTACTAGAATATAAAGATAAGAGCTGAACTAGCATGCCACTAATGGGAAAAGGGGGTACTTTCATAGAATCAGTATTTTTCCCCATCCCATCTCTTTTTGATGTCGATCAAAACATGCCATTGGCCGTTTAGTTTAAAAAATGCAAATGCTTGTGTTCATACATCAGTTACTTAATGTACAATAAAGGAATGGGGAAGGGGAAAATGAAAGAATAGAGAAAACTATACTGCAGTTGTCAGGATGCGGCGGAACGTGCTGTGGTTTTCTAGCTGAGGCTGTCTTCTTGGTCTGGAGGAACGGAGGTCTGGAGGGAAGCAGCAGGTTCCCCTTTAGAAGACACCTCCTGCCTGCTGCTGGAACTCATCAGCTGTGTCTTTCGTCTCCACTGCCACTTGTGCAAGTTTCACTGCTTGGCTGCCCCTCAAATCGGAACCTGATTTGCCTCCTTGATAAATCCTGTTGTTCACAGAAGGCTTTCGGCAGTTTTCTAAGTGGTGTATGCCACTTAATCTTTTTTTTTTTTTTTAATATATCGTTATTGATTTCAGAGAGAGGAAAGGAGAGGGAGAGAGAGAGATAGAAACGTCAATGATGAGAGAGTCATTGATCGAGCCCGCAACCCGGGCATGTGCCCTGACCGGGAATCGAACCCCAGTCGCCTGGATCCCAGGTGGACGCTCAACCGCTGAGCCAGGCCCAGCCGGGCAGCCACTTAATCTTAAACTGCACCACAGAACACCCTGCCCTGCCACCTTCAAATGACCATGATCACTGTTCTCAGTCTGGACTCCTTCCTAGAGCTCTTCGTCGGCCAGGGCGAGTGCCACGGTCTCCTCAGTTGCCACTTGACAAAAGAGGTACCAGGTCCGCGCCAAAGGAGCACACAGACAGCACCAGGCGCAGCAGCCGGAGGCGGCAGCAGCCAGGGAGGAGCCTTTTCTTTCTTTAAACTGTCAACTTGTATAAGTTATTAAGTGTCTGTTGTTTCTCAGACACATTCCCTAATATTATTGAGGATTTAAGAAAAGAAACTAAAGACAATGTCTCTTTTATTGCAAATTTTAAAATATAGTTGAGAATGAATATATGCATAAGTATACACATGTATTTGCAGCATATACAGAATTATATGTGCACAAAGAGCCACTTGAAACCCTTCTAGGGATAACTTTAAGTTGATACAGTGAGTCTTTCTGTGCTTTAGTATAGTCATTTATAAAATAAGGATAACTATGCCTGCATCACAAGATTGTTGTAAAGGTTAAATGACCAGTGTACATGGGAGTGTCTCAAAAGCTTTCAGAAGAATTCAGTATACCACAAGTACCTTAATAAACCTGAGATAAATATGTCTTTATTGATTTCAGAGAGTGGAAGGAAGAGGGAGAGAGAGAGAAAGAANCCTTTCAGAAGAATTCAGTATACCACAAGTACCTTAATAAACCTAAGATAAATATGTCTTTATTGATTTCAGAGAGAGGAAGGAAGAAGGAGAGAAAGAGAAACATCACTGATGAGAGAGTCATTGATGGGCTGCACGCCCCCTACCGGGGATCGAGCCGCATGTGCCCTGACCGGGAATGGAACTTCGATCTCCTGGATCCTACATAGGTTGATGCTCTGACCCGGAATGGAACTACAATCTCCTAGATCATAGGTTGATGCTCAAGCACTGAGCCCCACTGGCTGGNGCTCAACCACTGAGCCCCACTGGCTGGGCAAATGTGAGATTTTTTTGAGCTATCCCTCTCCGAGTTGTATTCTCCATGGGACATTGTTGAAGTTTGTCTACATTTGTCTTGAATTTTTTTTTTCAGACCAGATGATCAGTTGTGTTCTGCTGTAGAACACTGTGAGAACAAGTGAGTGTTAGAGGAAATCCAAATCTACTTTTTAAACAAAGCCCCTGGCTTTTCCTACTGATACCTATTCATATGGCCTACTTATATGTAGACATGAGGGTCTTCTATTCTACCATGCCCGTTCCCAATCAAAGCCCACGTGCTTTCCAGAGCTTGTGGCTCTGCCTTCACCAGCTACACAGAAAAACAGTACTCCTGGGTTCTCAGAGTTTATTTTTGAATTTTCTGCTGTTGAACTCATATCAAAACCTTAGCTGAAAAAAAAAATAGTAGTTCTTAGAAGTCATCCAAAGTAAGGTTTTTGCCCTTGAATTAAATTAGATTCTGAGAAGACATTACTTAGCCTGTTGCAAAATCACCAATACTGAATACTTGCAGATTTTATCAAAGTTATTATAAGAAAAGTATAAACTTTGGTCTCTNGCTTGACCACATTACTTAGCCTGTTGCAAAATCACCAATACTGAATACTTGCAGATTTTATCAAAGTTATTATAAGAAAAGTATAAACTTTGGTCTCTTATTTTTCGTTATTAAGCGAAACAAGGTTATTTTATTGCCGAGTGGCCTCTTTGATCTCTTGTCAGAAATTGCTTTTAGAATTTTAAGGCTGAAAGAATGATGTATGTCTTGAAGAACAGGTATGCTTCTTCCTTTCTGAAAGTTATGAAATCTGTCTTGGTTTTGTCCTGTTTTAGTTTGGTCCTGACTTCCAGAATTTGCCAGGCAAATCAAACATCAACGACACTCAGTAGACAGGCATTATGATCACTTTTTACCTTCTTTCATGGTTGAGTCTCTATTTCTACTTTGTTGTGCATAATCATATAGATGATAGATAGATGATAGATCAATAGATAGATAGATAGATCTCCTTTAATGTTAAAGGAAATTAATCATTCCAGAGAATCATTGTAAATACATAAGAAATATTGGAATTAGTGTTAAAGAAATTTAATAAGATATTTATAATTATCTTCTCAGAAGTTGAATACTACAATAGCAAATGTTTATATATATTCCAAATTTCAGTTTAATTTTTCTTGAAAATGACTAATAAATAGATTTAAATTGTGATTTTATTTGCATTACTAATTTACACATCATGAATTCTATTGAATAAAATAAATTAGAATTGGTTTTACATATTGAAGACAGCAAAAACAAAATCTCTAAAGAATATGACCAGCTGTTTAAATTACNGGCATTACTAATTTACACGTCATGAATTCTATTGAATAAAATAAATTAGAATTGGTTTTATATATTGAAGACAGCAAAAACAAAATCTCTAAAGAATATGACCAGCTGTTTAAATTACAATACCTCTTCAACTGAAATTTTATTCTCTCATGCTGTTTTATATTTCTCTTAGGAAATGCAATGCAAAAAGGCTTTGCCATAAAGTTGCCCCTCCCAAAAAATGCCATTAAACTTTGGTAGGTTTATATAGCTGAAAGCATTTTTTAAAGGGCTATTTTATAAAAATGTTTTCAAATTAATTACAGAAAAAAATGAAAAATGAGCAAAAACTACGGAGTTCCTGCCTTAGTATACTATTTCATTTTTAATGAGAATAGTTTTTTAAAAAATTAAGTCAAGATTATTTTCTCTCCCCTTTAACAGTTCTCTCCAGAATCACATACATTGAACACTGGTTAAATTAGACAGATAAATTCAGCTATGGGTTTCATCAACATTATCAATATTATTTCATTCTGGGGAGTTCTCTTTAAATCATCTACATCTTTTGTTACTTTTTTCCACCCCCGCTAAACCTGGTATTGTTTATATGAGGCAGTAGAGTATAAAGCAGTGATTCTGCTGTTAATTTGAAAAGATTATTTCATTATTACAATAGGCCATTGACAGCTGTGACCTCCAGTGACCTCCATTGTTATCCTACTAAGGGATGCTACATGGTTAAACGGATCTCAATTGTAAGTGAAACATTATAATCATAGCATTGTTTAAACTGAATGTGACTGAAATTATACTTAAATTAATGATAAAAATACAAAAATTATACTTAATCATTGTTACTAGAATAACATTTTAACATCTTTAATTTTTTAATTATATCTATTGATTTTAGAGAGAGGAAGGGAGAGGGAGAGAGATAGAAACATCAATGACAAGAGAGTCATTGATCGGCTGCCTCCTGNTATTAAAAAAATATATCTATTGATTTTAGAGAGAGGAAGGGAGAGGGAGAGAGATAGAAACATCAATGACAAGAGAGTCATTGATCGGCTGCCTCCTGCACGCCCCCTACAGGGGACTGAGCCTGAAACCCAGGCATGTGCCCTGACCTGGAATCAAACTGCGACCTCCAGGTTCATGGGTCAGTGATCAACCACTGAACCACACCGGCCAGGCAGCGTCTTTAAGATGCCTCTGAGTTATCTGTTCTGAAAGTCTTTCTACACATTTCATGCATTTGTGCCAATCAATTTTAGTGTCTGGTTCTTTTTCTTGATCAGTTGTTGCTCTGGCAATTTTGAGAACATTTGCTATTATAGAAACTCTTCTTCATTCTTCTTCAGAAGTTCCAAGTGTTTTCTTTTTCCAACTAATTTTTTTTTTTTTTTTACCATCTTAACCATTTTTAAGTGTACAGCTCACTGGTATTAAGTGCATTCTGTTGTGCAACCATCACTCCATCCATTCTCATAACTCTTTTCTCTCTTTTTTTAACNTATTAAGTGCATTCTATGTGCAACCATCACTCCATCCATTCTCATAACTCTTTTCTCTCTTTTTTTAACATTCAAATTTCTTTTTATTAGCATTTTATTTTCAATCCCTATTACCTTCCTATAAGAAAGGGTTTTTTCCGGAATTTTATTGCTCCAAGTCTGACTTCAGGCCTGTGCAAGGGCTACATGTACAGTCAGATGCCGAGCCTGAAACTCTACCCATTAAACACTAACTCCCCTCCTCTCCTCCTCCTGGTCCCTGACAACCACCATTATACTTTCTGCCTTTATGATTTTGACGATTTTAAGTACCTCATTTAAGTGGAATCATACAGCACTTGTCTTTTTGTGACTGGTTTATTTCACTTAACGTAATGTCCATAAGGTTCATCCATGTTGTAGCCTCTATCAGCATTTCCTTCCTTTTAAAGGCTGAATAATATTTCATTGTTTGTATGGACAACATTTTAATTTTTTGTTTCTCCTCCTTGGACACTGGCTTGCCTCCTTGTTTTAGCTGTTGTGAATAGTGCTGCTATGGATATGGGTGTATTCCAAGTATTTTTGAAAGGATGTTTACCAGGAATCCAAGACAAATCCAGAACAATTCTTGCCTGAATTCTGAGGCTAATGAGCAATGTGGCCTCCTGGCCTCCACTCTTTCCCAGGGCCTCACACTGTCCCTAGGGTAAGTGTGTGATATTTAACTGTCCATTCATAGATAGTGTGTGGACTTAGCAATATGATGAAAGAGTTCATGATCAGAGCTTGGGGATTCGTAAGGAATTACTTTGGAGTGACTGTGGACTCAGGTATTCCCGTGGGAAATTCCTAATTATTGGTATCTGCAGGGATTTTTCTCTTGAGCTGGTCAATTTCCCCAAAGAGTAGCATACCAGTCTCATACAGTTGGGGAAAAGGTTGGCATCAGGGAATAGGTAAATCGGGGCTGCCGTCTTTCTCAGAATCAAAGGAGGGAAGAAAGATGGGGTTTCACCATTTGATGTGTAAGCTTTCACTTAATAACTTTTCTGATTTTAGTTCTGAGCCTCCTGCGTGATGTAAAAATTAAACAAAAATGGCAGTTTTCAAAAGGAGTTTTTGAAAACAAAACACTATAAAATTTAGCATATCAAAAACCAAACTCTTGCTGTCCTCCCCAAACCTCTTTCCACTGTTTGCGCATCTTGATAAACTATGATTTTATCCGTCTGGTTGCTCAAGATAAACCTGGGCATCGCCCTTCACTCTTTTTTTCCTTCACACATTTACCAACAGAAAATCCTCCTTGCTGTG